GCCGTTCGGGTCTTCAGGGCGGACTGTGAGAGGAGCCTAGCTCCCCTCCCCTCACGTTCGGCACGCTGCCCCGCCTACACACATCCTGACAGCCACATCCGCAAGCCGGATTAAAAGGTCCGCGCGGACTTTTGGGGCTGCCAACCGAGAGGAGGCAGGGGAGCGGCCGACCGAGAGGAGGGAGGGGAGCAGGCGCCCGGCACACAGAAGAGCCGCATTAGACTGGGTAAAGAGCCGCATGTGGCTCGCGAGCCGCGGCTTGCCGACCACTGAATCATTAGATTCTAATGATTGGTCTATTTGTGAGCCGAAGCCACATGTTACAGATGAAATTGGAATTTTTCCCACGGCACACCAGACAATATCTCACGGCACACTAGTGTGCCGCGGCACAGTGGTTGAAAAACGCTGTCTTAGACCATAGAGATGATCGTGGGGACAATCTGGTCCTTGATCATCTTTATGATCAGACGGTAGAACCACCAGCTTCAGACTTGGGCTCCTTGGTTGGACAGGTGAGCCTGGGAAGGCAGCGTGCGGGGGGGGGGGAAACCCCCTTCCACCAAATGTAAAAGCAATCCAGCAGCTTATTAGCCACTTGGACCATTTTTTCCTTTATTCAGCATCACAGGCTAAAAAAATACTGGGGTCATGGCTTCAGCCATGGCCTCGGTATAACCATTCAAACCTGAAGACGTACAGGTATGTCCTTGGCGCGCAAGTGATTAACGTAACAAGGAGACTCAATGGACCAAAAAAAGGTACATTTCACGTTTTTAGACACCTGACCATCACACCTATCAGTTTGTTGAACATTCCATTTGGAAACTATGGGCATTAATATATAACCAGTCCCTTCCCTTTTTGAATTATGCTCTTCTGAGAAGGCTTCTCACAAGATTTCGGAGTTTGTGGGAATTTGTGTCAATTCAGGCATAAAAGCATTTGTAAGGTCAGATATTGATCTGACATGAAAAGACATGGCTTGCAACCAACATTTCAATCAATCCTAAACCCAAAAACAAAATATTTAGTAGCTTATCAAGTCCTTAGACGAGTTGCCTGCCTTAGTTTTTTTTTTTTTTCCCCAGATATTTTTTTCCCTTTTCATCTAGTAATCCTGCAAATAACACTCTTCCTGACTCTGGGTGAATACTTTTACACCTCAAGTGCATCTATGAAAGGAGCCATGGTATGGTAGCTACCCAGGCTGGACTTTGAATATGTCTGCCTTTGTTGATTAGATTAGAAGTTTATACAAGAAAGATATTATTTTTGCTTCCAATTCATCTAACAGGAAGTGACAGGCATTTTCTGTACTTCCTTTAAAATGTTCTTAGCCTAAAAAATTTAAAACTATTGCAGCCACCACATCTAAGGTTCTTGGGTTTGGTTATGCTTTAAATTCATACTTTGGATGAAACACTTCAAAAAGGAGGAGCAGATATCCATCAGTTCTAATTACTAAACTTGGAAAAATTCTGACCAGTGTGTGTGGCTTACTTTTGTCAAAAGTGTTCAGTGGGGTTGAGGTCAGGCCAGTCAAGTTCCTTCACACCAAGCCTTAACAGTACATTAAAGTGTTTGTAAAGACTGAAGTTTTTTTTACCGTCATGCATTCTATGCATGAAGGTAAAAAATCTTCAGTGTGTGTGTGCGCGCATGCAGCAGCCCACTCAGCCCCCCCCCCCCCCCGTACTTACTTGAGCCAGATCCCGGTCCAGCGATGTACACAGAAGCCCCGGCTCTGTCAGGTCTCTGCCTCCTCATTGGCTGAAAATACTGCAGCAGGAGTGTGTGTGTGTGTGTGTGTGTGTGTGTGTGTGTGTGTGTCAGAGTAGCACTTTGCTTATGAATGCAGAGTGGGGCTCGAGACCGAGCATGCATCAGTGCCCCCATAGCAAGTGGCTTGCTATGGAGGCACTGCTCGGGGGGGGAGGGGGGGGGGGGGAGAGGAGCCAGAAGTTCCACTGGAGGACCCAAGAAGGAGGATTGGCGCTGCTCTACGCAAAACCACTGCACAGAGCAGGTGAGTATAACATGTTTGGTATTTAAAAAAATTAAATAAAAAAAAACAACTATTTGGTGTCAACTTAATGGTACCCTTAACTAAAAATACTTGAATTAAATCATTTGAAAGTGGGGTGGTGTCTACTGTACCTACCTTTAACCTTGGTGATAATTTAGGGTTGTCTAAATCAATATTTGTCTTCAGTGCCTGCTCCAGTGAATGCACCTGTGTTAAATATAAAATATTAATAACTGAAATTACAGTCATACAGTGGGCACCTAGACTACTAAACTATATTAATACTTTAGGGGAAAATTAACAGGGGTTTTGAAGTGAAAATGCTAGCTGTGTGCCTGCCCCACCACCAGCCAGCCAGAAGCTATTTTTACTAGCCTGTTTACTGAAAGAGCTTATAACCAAAGTTGGTTGCTGGGAGCTTCTGCGCATTTCAAACCCCTGCACTACACATACCTTATTAAAAATGTTAAACCTACCATTATTCGTGGAGATATAGCAGGAACCTCAATTTCATCAGAAATGGTTGGAATGAACTGCTTATCTGAATTATATTCCTGTGATAAAGTACAAGTACATCATTAACATTCGTAGCATGTCAAAGGTTAAACATTTTCATTGCAGAATTCACTAAATACAAGGTGGAACATACACTGGCCCCTATGTAAGCTAGGTTCTTATGAAGAATATGGCAAGATTTATTTTAAAGTGGTTGTAAAGGTAGAAGGTTGTTTTACCCTAATGCATTCTGTGCATGAAGGAAAAAAACCTTCTCGGTGCAGCTCCCCCCCTTATACTTATGTGATCCCAAACTTGATCCAGCCATGTGCATGAGAGCAGCGACTCTCCCGGGTCTCTTGCGCCTCACACAGCAGCGGAAGCCTTTGGCTTCTGCTGCACTCAACCACAGCCAGTGAGGAGAGAGCATGGGGTGGGGCCGTGCACGCAACAATGTACATTCACAGGAGCTTGGCTCAGGAACGAGTCTGCTGGAGTAGAAAGAGGCTTGCTACTGGGGGCACTCGGCAGGAGAGAGGAGCCAGGACCACCGGTGGGGAATCCAAAAAGAAGAGAAGAGGCTAGGGGCTTCTCTGTGCAAAACCATTGCTCAGAGCAGGTAAGTATAACATATTATATTTGTTATGAGAAGAAAAAAAAAAAAAAAAAAAACAAAAAAACATTTATGCCCCAAAACATGAGAAAACCATATGAAATTTTTCGTACGAGGAGCGATTGTCCAATAATAATCTGAATGTTAGTACACAAGTTTCGAGGGGGGTGACAGTATCTGAAGGGACATATGCAAAACATTTTTCTTGCATGATACCAGAACAAGCGATTTTCTTTTAATTAGTACAGTAGTCATCGGGAAAAAAAAAAAAAAAAAAAATCAGAAGACCAAGACCAAGACCACGCTTGCTCAGAAATGAAAGAATACATTACAATACATTATATCACTTCCGAAGTTGTATTCTTTCATACGAGAGTTTTCTTAACTTTAGTAACCACTTCATTTTTTATATGAGACTAACATCCAAAAAAATGGCCGATCATTCGTCCAATATTCTCATTGTGTATGGAGCATTAGAATCACTCTAAAAGTGGAACTTCACTCTCTCAATCAACATGGACTATTTTACTCCACATGCTGCTAGCATTAGTAAATAGGAAAGTATATCATATTTACATGTTTTAAACTTTTTTTTACATTTCTTCAGTTACTCTCTGGTTTCCATGCCTTGGCAAAATTATGTCTACATCCCAGAAGTCTTCAGGAGGGAAGGGAGGGTTCTCAGCTCAGCAAATGTCTGAGCTAAGAGCAGATGGATTCCAGGAAGTAAAGACTACATGAATAATCGCCCTTACTCAAGATGGCCACTGCCAGAAATGCCAGGGGAAGATTTTCAAAATGATTTCTCAGCAAAAAGCATGGAGACATGGAAGGATAGGGGAGTTTTTTTAAAATATTAACAATTAATTAAAATAGCATTTAATTATATGTCGCTGTCCCAGAACTGGGTAATTGTGCTGTAGCTGTCATTAAGTGCGGCTTCCAAGTGGTTAATAGCAAAAAAGTCAAAAATATTGTTTTTTTTCTCAAATTTGTTGGGGTTTATTTTATAGTGCAACAGATAAAACAAAAACCGCACAGGTGATCAAATACCACCAAAAGAAAGCTCTATTTGTGGGAAAAAAGTGACACAAATTTCATTTGGGTGCAGTGTTGCATGACCGCGCAATTGTCAGTTAAAGTAACGCAGTGTGGTAACGCAACAAATGGCCTGGTCAGAAAGGTGGGTAAATCCTCTGGATGGTAAGTGGTAAACAGACATGAACCTTTTTTTTTTTTTCCTTCTTCAAGGCAGCACACTACAAAAAGGTGGTTAACATCTGTGCATTGTGCTAAAAGATGTCCCTTTTTCTCATTTCAAAAACCTGAGAGATATGTGACAGCACCCATGAACACGGGGCCGTTGGAAAATGATTTCTATTTGGTTATGACGATTTGTCCTATGGATCTGCAAAGCTTCAGCTATTTGCTTAGCAGCTACTTACAGTCCATTTTCTAAGAAAGCTAAAAAGTATTCCACTGTGCTGGAACAGGAACACTTCAGCAGCTAATACTGTATGTTAGGAGAGGTTTGTGAACATAATAATTACCTATGTTACTTTTTCTGGACAATCTACAGTATTATGTGTAGGCTATTTATAACTTTTCAAAACCTCTATGATTATATTTTTCTTCACAAATCTAGCTTCTTTATCCTGTGTTAAGCAGTTTTTGCTTCAAGCATAGGATTTAACGCTCTTCTATAAATCCCTAACAGATGAATATCAGAGAAAGAAAGACTAAAAAAGGTACTCATGTTTTATTTACCTTTACTGTAATTATCCGGGCCATATCTTCACATAAACCGTCTTTTTCTGTATGCTCACATTCAAAGAATTTTGAATAATCTTCTAACAACTTTGCCACAATCTTATTGCATACTTCTTGTTGCTTCATACCCTCAAAGCCTGGAGACACACTAGAAGAAAGGAAAATAATGAACAATAATCTTATGATCATTACAAGGCAGGACCGGATTTCCTTGGCTAAAGTCGGTAGGCTCACAACGCTTGGCGCTCAAAAGCGATTGATACCTGCCTTTATCACCTCTTTACATTGAAATTGGTTTACTTCACTAGATCTAGCTTAGGGTCATACTATCCTATCCTATGTATCATCTTTACATACAGCGAGATGACTTTTACGGATTAAGGAAAAATGTGTCATCACTAGCTGTATAGGGAAAAGTCACTTCTTACCAACAACTGTGCCTAATGGTTTTGCACAAAGGACACCTATTACCTTCCCTATTAAAGAGCCATACCCATTAAAGAGCCATAGATAATATTTGTTCTCTTGGGGGGGGGGGGGGGGGAAATCAGGTGAAGTGTACAGCACGGTAAATGTGCTTGTGGCAAAATTGCATTAAAGTTGGGAGGGACTTAAAGCAGAGCTCCAGTCATTTTTGCAAAAATTAAGTCAGCAGTTACAAAAACTTTAGCTGCTGACTTCTAATAAACAGACACTTACCTGTCCCTAGATTTATTTATTTCAGGTAGTTATATAGAGCCGTCAATTTACACAGCGCTTTACACACACACACACACACACACACACACACACACACACACACACACACACACACTACATTCACATCAGTCCCTAACCCTCAAGGGGCATACAATCTAAGGTCCCTAACTCACAATCATACATACACATACTAGGGACAATTTAAACAGGATCCAATTAACCTACCAGCATGTCTTTGGAGTGTGTGGGAGGAAACAGGAGTACCTGGAGAAAACCCACGCAGGCACAGGGAGAACAGGCAAACTCCAGGCAGGTGGTGCCGTGGCTGGGATACGAACCAACGACCCTAGTGCTGCCAGGCAGAAGTGCTAACCATTTAGCCACTGTGCTGCCCCTATATCCCGTGCTGTGCTCATCCGAAGCCAGTCCCTGGCATCTTAACTGTGGGTAGCTTGTGTCTTCACAGCCGGGTGCCCACTGTGCATGCATGAGGAGCTTCTGCTGGCCTAGTGATCTGAGCAAAAGTAGGAGCAGATATCTGTCAAAACCAGGTACCCACTCCCTCCCCTTCCAAAAAAAGTTTGCCAAATGTGAGAGGGGGAGGAAGCCTTAAAGCGGAACTTCCCATTTTGGGTGGAGCTCTGCTTTAAGTGCAGCTCTGAAAATACAAAGCACAAGGGTTAAGATTGCGTAACGTACAAAGCAGAGAGTTCAGTAGTGCATTTTGCATAGGGGACAAGAGTTCGTAACACACAGAGAACAGGGGTCAGGAGTGTGTACAGAGTGCAGGGTCAGGCATAATTAATGCAGGGGTCAGGAGTGTGTAAGACACAGGGAGCAGGGGTGCGCAAGACACAGAGTCAGGGGTGAGAACGACAGCAGGGATCAGGAGTACTCATCTCAAAAAGAATGAGTTAGGAAGCTAAACAAAGTACAAAGTGCAGGGGTCAGGAGTAAGTAAAGCACAGAGAACAAGAGTCAGGCATATGTAACAGAGTGCAGGGGTCAGGCGTAATTAATGCAGGGGTCAGGAGAGTGTAAGACACAGGGAGCAAGGGTGCACAAGACACAAGCAGGAGTCAGGGGGGAGAATGACACAGCAGGGATCAGGAGTACACATTTCACAAAAGCAGGGGTCAGGAATGCTAAACATACAAAGTACAAAGTGCAGGGGTCAGGAGTACATGTCTCACAGAGCACATGGGTCAGAGGTACACACCTCACAGTGGTTAGGAGTGAGTAATGTATAGACTACAGAGGTCAAAAGTGTGTAATGCAGGGTTTAGGAGTGCACAACATACAGCACAGATGTAGGGAATTGGTCAGTGTGTACAACCCCCCCCCCCCCCCCCCCCCCCCCCCCCCCCCCAAGACAAACTCCTTCACCACCCTTCCACTAGTATAGATTCCCTCCCACACTGCAGCTCTTCCCCTTCCAGTACAGCTCCTTCATCACCCCAGTAGAGCTCTCCTTCCACCAGTACAACCAACCCCCCCCCCCCCCCCAGATACAGCTCTGCCCCTCTGTAAAACACACTCAGTGCAGAGCAGTTTAGAGTAAGGGAAGTACTTCCTTGGCTATGTCATATGACTGGAGCTATGGAGAAGCAGCCTTCCTTGCTCTGAACAGACAGGCTGCAGGAGCAGTACCCCGCATTGGGTGCTCAGTGAGGCTGACAACAATAGGTACTGCACTGTACCACGTATGCTCTGGGAGAAATTAATTCATTTACTAGTGTCCTTGAAAGGCCTTTATAATATAAACACCGGTAATAGTTTCTGGCTCAGAATTTGTTTTTCTTTCTAAAGGGTTTTTTTTAAAGTCAGTGTACTTTTTGGACTAATACCAATAAGTAATCCTTTACCATCTTTTTTTTTTATTTTATTTAAATATTTATTAGTTTTCCAGATTTACAAAAAAAAAATTACATATTTCCATCATATTCTCATAAAACATACAAAACCATTATTTTTTCTTTTTTCCCTTCCTTTATCTATTTCCCACCCCCTCCCAACTAAATTCCCTTCCATCCCTCCCTGCCCCCGCCCCTCCATACTCGTGTTTCCCACCCTGCATTTCTCGACGTCTTCCCTACAAAAGTAAGAGGCTCTTTCACATATCACACCCTAAAGCTTCATATATCTTTTGCCTTCAGTACAAATTCTTCCCATTTTTTCCATTTCACATAATATAACTCCATCTTGTCTTCCTGCATATGATAAAGTTTCTCCATCCTACAAATCTGGTTCACTCTATCTACCCAATCTTCTTCCTTCGGCACCTCTATCTTACGCCAAAACCTGGGTATCAAACCTTTTACTGCATTAGATAGTACCATATACCCGATTCCTTGTATTTATTCACTGATAACTCTGTACTATGTAATAGGCAAATCTCTGGATTTAATCCCATATTCGTCCCAGTAAATCATCCCCAATTAAATGAACTATTATCTTCCAAAATAATTGAATTTTTGGACACTCCCACATGTGATATAAAGAACCTTTGCCTATCTCTACACACCCCCGCCAACACCACGGTGAATTTTCCCCACTCATCTTGTGTTTCAAGAAAAAAAAAATATTATATATATATATATATATATATATATATATATATATATAATATATACATAAACATATATAAACATATACATATATACATACACACACCACACACACACACACACACACACACAACACACACACACACACACACATCAAACACACACACACACACACACACATATTATATATAATATATACACACACACCTTTCAGGATTGTTAGCTGGCTAACTCTAGAACTAATGTGACTGTGGAATGTTTTACAGGTTGTTCACTGGGTAACAAAGTGGATCTGATAAGACCAAGACTGAATGGTTTGTTGGAAGATGAGGAACTGTTGCGTCTTTCTCCTCATGAAACCTGGCTAAATACCATCATGCTGGACTAAGCTTTCCAACTCTACACACCTTAGTAGATAGTAATCACCTGTCAGAAGAACTCAAGGGAGGTACACTTTGGGGTTGACTTACTATAACTGCAAAGTTTGGCGCAGCTGTGCATGGTAGCCAAACAGCTTCAGGTTTTTTGTCAAAGCTTAAAGCAGAGTTCCAGTTGAATTAAACAAAAAAATAAAAGTCAGGAGCTACAAAAACTGTAGCTGCTGACTTAAAATACAGACACTTACCTGTTCCTTGGTCCAGTGGTGTCCTCACCACAGTTGGTTTAATCAGCCTTCTTTTCTCCCCGGTTCCAGCATCTTCAATGTGGGTAGCCGGCAGTGACAGTTTGTGGCTGTACAGCCGGTTGCCCACTGCGCATGCACGAGTAGTGCTGCACTTTGTGAATGGTCCCGTAGTCTTCTGGGACCTGTCACGGGTCCCAAAAGACTACAGGGAGGGAGGAGAGGACGACAACTTCCGCTTCCGATCTCCTAATGCAATCGCACCAAAAGTGAAAGCGGGTACCTGTCAAATTCGGGTACCCCCTCCTCAAAAGATGCCAATCCTTAATGGCGAGCGGGAGACAAAGCCTTAAAGTGGAACTTCCCCTTTTGGATGGAGCTCCACTTTAATTGAGCAAGCTCAAGTTAGAAGCTGATTGGCTACTATGCACAGCTGCACCAGATTTTGCACTCTCCAGTTTTAGTAAATCAACCCCTTTGTATCTACATTAGCAAAGATGCACAAATTGTTCCCAGTAGTAGTCACTGCTCTGAGGAAGCAGAATATCCAACAGTACAAAATGCAAACTACATTTTTCGCTATGGGAATTTACATTAGTACTCATTGTTATGGTCTATGTTCCCCAACTTGCTAAGCATGTCACAATTACCACACGTGAACATGCTTGAGTATATGCAAATAGACAACATTTGATCCATCATGTTTTCTACTCTCTTATGTAATGCCTAATTGAACCCTCAGTTTAAAGCAAAGTTCACCTTAAAAAAAAATAAATAAATGCACATATTTTGCAGGTAAAAACATTTATTGTTTTTCTTAAGAGCTTAAGAGTATAGCAGATCACGGGTGCATAGTCAGGCTTTCTGCAGAATCTCAGTATGGGCAGACAGAGTTACTGAAGTCCAAGAAGATGAATTAGGAGAGTGCTTACCATTGCCCTCCTCGCAGCTCATTGAGAACTACAAGCTGGCGTGCATGTCGGACCTCTGCAATAAAACCACTTCTTCCCCACTGTAAGACACACTGTTTTGATGAACCTGAATTGTATTTAGCTGATGTAAACAGTGTTTGATTGGGCTTTAAACCAAATCTAGGGGTAAGCATACCTCCAGCTGTGCTGAAACTAAAAATCCCATCATTCCCCTGCCTATGGGAGCTATGCCTATAGCTGTCAGAGTGTGGCAATTGTCCATAAAGACCCTTTAAGTTGTACTGTTCAGTTGTGGTCAAGCGGAGGCAATGGGTAAAAGGAACAGACA